ACTTGGAAACTGCTGAAAAGGTGGACCTAGGGCTGATCTCACAGAAAATCTTTTGTTTTTTTCTTTTCCTTCCAGCAAGTTCTCTCATACTTCTAAGCCCCAGGCTGTCTAGACCACAGCTCAGGATGTTTGAAATGGCCTCACAGTGCTCTAGCAGCAGCTATAAGAGGACAATTCCAGGGCTCTAGGCCAAAAACTCCCCAGAGGAGAGTCATAACCTTGTCTGTTCTGTTCATTCTTGGATAATACTCTACCTACTTTTAAAAAGGTGCATGAAATCGCATCATTTGAAGCTCAGGAGAGAATTTAAACAAAAAGATCAGTGATTCAATAAAATTCCATCCATTATTTAATTTCATTCCATCATTTAGTTGTACATTTTCCCAACAAAGATTAATTGAGCAACTATTTTTCTGTGTCAGGTACTATACTAGGTTCAGAGCACTAGTCTGTATTTGCAACAGGAAATAACACACACTTGCTAGCCTCTGCATGCAGACTCCAGTTCCAGAGACGGCGATCCCCAGAATAGTTAGGATACAATGTGTTCCTTGTTTTCACAGATGTGGGACCATGATACTCTAAAGGACATGTCACTTATCCTGGGAACCATCAGAAAGGTTTTACAGGAGGGGACACTTGAGCTGAGTCTTGAGGGGTGGGGGGCATGGAGCCGGCTGGAAAGGAGCTGGGGCTGAGTGCTAAGGAGCATCCCATGCCAGGTATAAGAGGATGGCCTACCCTGAGGGCCAGAGGGAGCCAGCGATCATTTTAAAGCATTCGATTGATAGGATTCGTAAAAAGGATGATGCACTTGATATTCATTAGCATAAAACGAATGCTTATTGGAATTTTATTGAAATGCTGTTTTCCACATTGGCTACTGTAATGCTTTCTTTTAAACCCAGATTTAAAATTCTGACTTTGAGTCTGAGTATGTTTACAGATTGCGTGATAAAAGTCCCGTGCAAAAGGAAAGCATCTAAAATAAAAAGAACAGGCAAATCCAGGTCATAACAAGAATCTGAATCTCTTGTAAGTTCATACTATTCTTAGAGTCACTTCTGGAGCCTTACAGTGATGGTAATAGAAAGATACAACTTTTTCATTTTACTTCCCAAATTTCAGTCCCAGGATGCTATCCCTGAGGCCTTTTATCTGCATTACCCCCACTGTCCGGTTGTCACAGCCTATTGTCCCATGCTCGATACACTTGTCGTGAGGCCCAGCTGCTGTGGCATCCAGCCCTCTGTCACCAGCAGCACCTATTGTGTTCTGCTGGGACCTGGCAAGTCAGGTGTCTGTCTCCCGCTGTGCTTCTCAGATGGCACTTTGCTGGGGTGAGACTCTACTGTGATCTAGATTTCACATTTGCAACTGGTAGAGTCTCCTCACGGGCTGTAACAGAGAAAGTTAAAGCGATGAGAATTCACACGGGCAGGAACTCTTACAAGAACGAAACAGAGTGTAAACCTCATAAACAGACTCTAATGTATTTAAGAATTCAGTAATGCATCCTAAGTGAAAGGATATATAAATAGTGTATTTACGAAGGAGGCAGAATTCCAAATGTACCCCAATTCTATGTCCCATGTGGTCCAATTTTTGCACAATCACATTAAAAAATATACTCAATTTAATATGCTTTGAAGAAATATAGCAATTTTACCATAGATTTTCTTAAAGAAATTCATCTTTAGAAAACATCCCAAACATTTCTAAGAATACTTCCCAAAGTTCTGTCCTCACAGTAGCCACCAAACGCCTGTCCTTCCCCTCACCAAGCAGCGCCCTCACGCCTTCCCCACTGACTTTCCTCTTCAGATCCTCTGCTCCCTTCTCTCTGAGCCGCAGTGGACCACGTAAGTGGTCCTAGCTCTTGTGCCCCTATTCTAGAACTCTCTAGGATGGCCAGAGGATCTAGCATTTCCACTCCTGCTGAGCATCCCCGGCTCCCTGTGGACAAAACCACGTGACAACCCCTCAGACATAGAGCAGTTTTCTCACATCAGCAAAAAACTTGGGGAGCATTTTGGGGAATAAAATTCCCCACCTTGTTAACAAATCAGTAAGAAGGATTATTTAGTAATTGATGGCTGACACTACTGGTTAACTATTTGAAAAAAAAAAGTTACATTTCCTACCTCACACCCAAATACATTCCAGATGGCTTATAGAGGTAAGTATGTAAAATAAAAACCTAAATGAACTAGAAAACTAAGAGTGGTTATTCATCTAGTCACATAAAAGTAGAAAAAGGAATCATAAAACTAAAGACCCTGGCGATCACTTGATAAAGATATACATGTCATAAAATGCCACAGAAAGTTGAAATGAAAAACTAAAAGAATATTTCCAACAGTTAAGAAATAAATGTTTATTCCTGCTAATTTATAATAAAGCTCTTACCAATCAATATGAAAAAGAGAGATGCTTCAACAGGAAAATGGGCAAAAATTGCAAACAGACAATTCACTGATGTATGAAAAGCCAATAAATATTGAAAAAAAAATGTTGGGGTTTCCTGAAGGTGACATCCCTTTGAAGGGCCGTCTTGCTCTGGTAGGAGATGTGGCCACATGAGACGCGTGATAAAACCTGCCCACTGCAGCACACTGGGCCCAGGGAGATGTGAGAACAGGTTTCTAGAGGTGTAGCATCGCAGGCTCTTTCCTGGTGGACCGGGAGGCCCTGGTGGTGAAACGTGGGGCAGAACATTGTCTCCTTGTCCATGGCAGCTGCTGCAAAGTGGCTGTGCTCTGGCAGTCCACGTGGCTCTCGGGGAAGGGCCCAGCCTCCCCCAAGGCTTCTGGTCCTGCCTCCTAGAACTGGCTCCCAGCACAGGCATCTCCTACCCTCCCTGCAACCCACAGTGTCCACTGGAGAAAGGCTCCTGTGGCCTCCTTCCTATCTCCTTGTGCCCTCCCCAGGGAGTGTGGGCACTCTCCAGCCAGCAGCCACCCGTCTCCGCAGCCTCCCTGTCATCTGGAGCCCCTCACTGTGCCTGGGTAAGGACAGTCCAGCCCAAAGAATCACTCTTGCTGGGAACAAAGCAAAAGCAAAAAGCGTGATTTCCAGTTAGCACCAGTAGGTGGGATGCTCCGGCGTTTGCACTTCAAGGATGCGTGACATTAGTCATTCCAAACACTCAGAAGACCTCCGCCAACAAGGTATTATCTTGTCTAAATAAATAAGGAGTTGAAATCATTTTTACATATGAGCTGTTTTGGCTGAAAGTTGTTTTTTAAAAACTAATTTTTAACAAAAAAATATTTTTTAATTTAGTTGTACATTCTTTGAGCTGAAGATCTGTTTTTTATCAAAATTGTGTGTGTGTGTGTGCATGTTTGTGTAGACACTAATTATCTAGTTAAGGCTTAGAAATGGCAAGGTTGGGTTGATACCACCAACAAAGGATGGTCACCCACATCTGCAGAGCAAAAAATACTAGTTTGGGGAACCCTACTTTTCCTCCAGTTATTCATTAACTTCATAATGATGACAGAGGAAGAATTGAAGCACGCGCATTGAAACTTGTTCTTAACGCGCGTCCTAACCACGGCTTCTCTTTGGACATCCTTTACAGGACAACCGTCATCACTGTGTGAGCTCGGGAGTTCTGTGTTCTTTAAATCACTGCATGTTTTATACACTCTTAAATGGTAGAGAAAAATGAAAATCTTTAAAAGACCCAGATGATCCAACAGAGAATGTTCAAGCGATTTATAATGACCACTAAGACCTAGAACTTGGCAGGCATTTAGCAACGTACTTGGCATTCACGGCTGCCTGGCTCCGTGTGCGTGCAAGTGCATGTGTGTGTGCGTGTGAATGTGTTTCCTAACAGCTGACATGATGCCGAGGTTCGCACCCTCTCTATGGACAGCTTGGTTGTTTCTCTTATATCGAACTGTAGGTCGATGGGAATCGTTTTTAGAAAGATAAGAAAGTATGACTTAGTGGGATTTGTTCAATTTTTCAGAATACCCATAAGTTAAAGTCAAAAGTCAGCCTTGCAACCCATGAAATCTGCGTTTGTACCTGTTACCTGCATTATTTTTTGCCTGCTAGATCCTCGCATCACTTCATGGCAACTCAGCTGTGTCCCCCGTGTTGTATTTTAATGGCCCTCTTGCTAATTAGCACAAATGGCAGTCATGGCAACTTCCGGTCAATATCTCAGAAGAAGATTTTGCCATCGTCCACAGTAAAAATGAAATGATGTTTTCTCCTTTCATTAGTGATGAAGAGAAAATAATACACGTTGTTTCTAATAAAATAGATATTGAAGCTATATAATTGAAAATGTTGGTAGCAATTTAGGAAATAGATTGCAA